CCTGAAAGTTACTGGTGGCCCTTCATAGGCCGGCAAGGGACCCTCAGAGGTCGGTGAGAGGCCCTCAGAGTCACTGGCAAGTGACCGTCAGATGCGCTGCATAGGGCCCTCCGAAGCGCCGGTGTGGGGGCTCTCAGAGCCGCCGAAGGCCGAAGTAGCCGAAGTAGTAGGCACTGGTGTGGGGCCCTTAGAGGTGGCAGTGGAGGTCCTCGCAGGCGCCGTTGTGAGGGCACTCAGAAACACCGGTGTGGGCCGTGGGGCCATAGCAAACGGGCATGGGCCCTTACATCTGATCCCTTATTGGCCGGCAAGAGCCCTCAGGGCCGGCAAGGTCCCTCAGAACCTGGCGTGAGGCCCTTCTGGAGATAAGTGTGGCTACACAAGAGCCCATGGGGTGTTCTCACAAGCCCTGTGGTCTCCTTTTCAGTTAAAGCGTTGCCAGCGCGGGCCCTCTGCCGCCAATTGGCACCGCCGGGCCTCTTGGGCCCGAGGGCACCCTAAACCCTATACTGGACACGTGCCCCCTCGCCCCTGGCCATACCATTGAATCCGAGTGATCACGGGCCGTTCAGGTACCTAATCAGGGGCCTCTCAGGTGACCAGGGCCTTTCAATTGACCAAGGGTCTTTCAATTGACCAGGGGCCCACCAGGTGACCAGGGGACCCTCTGATAACCAGAGGACGGTTATACCAGGGGCTCCACGGGTAACTAAGGGCCTTTATGTGACTGCAGCGGCCCTTCATATTACCAGGTACTCCCCAGTTAAATGGGCCCTTCAGGTGACCAGGGTTTCTTCAGATCACTGGTCAGGGGTCACCCAGGGGATCAGGGGCCCCTCAGGTAGCTAGGGGCCCCTTATATAACTAGGGGCCCCTCAGGTAACCAGGGACCCCTCAGATAACCAGGGGCCCTCATATACCAAGAGGCCCCACTGGTAACTAGAGGCCTTTCAGATAATCAGGGGCCCCTCAGGTAAGCAGCGGCCCCCAGGAAACCAGGGGCCCCTCAGGTAAGCAGCAGCCCCTCAGATAGCCATGGGCCCCTCAGATAACCAGGGCCCCCGGGCCCCGTAGCCAGGGGCCCCTCAGGTAACCAGGAGTCCTTCAGATAACCAGGGACCAGTCAGGCAACCAAGGCCCCCTCAGATAACCAGGGGCCCTCAGATAACCAGGGGCTCCTCAGATAACCAGGGGCCCCTCAGGTAACCAGGGGCCCCTCAGATAACCGTGGGCCCTCAGATAACCAGGGCCCCTCAGATAACCAGGGACCCCTCAGGTGACCAAGGGGACCCTCAGGTAACCAGGGCGCCCCTCAGGGCCCCCATGGCCCCCCTTGGGTACGTCACTGCACTCAAGTGACCCAAAGGGCCCACTTGCATGCTTGATGCCAAAGGGGGAGGCCATGGCCTCTTGGCCTCCCCCCTGGATACGCCACTGAGTCTTCACTATTCCTTTGACTATTCCTTTCCAATCTGAGACTGAAGGGCACGCGAGAGGGGCTCAATCCGGTTATAACTGGAAGCCTCTGGCCTTATACGGTGTTGGAGCTGGTAGGAAGCGGTGATGACCCGCCCGTTGCCCGAACCCCCGTTTTCTGTTTGGTATGCCTGGGACATTCCGGCCATTCCTAACCGTTTCATGCCGATGCTAATGATCCTTCACATAATCTATGAATTGTATGTGAAATGTTGAGTCCCAAGCCTCTTATTCTAATGGTTCATCCAGCATATGGCCGAACCCCCGGCTGACCTCCCCTGCCGGCTGCCCCGCGCGTCAGTCGGAGGGGGAGGGGAGGGGAGGGGCGCCGCCGCCCGCGCGCGCGCGCGCGTGACGCGGCCCCGTCGGCGGCTGGACCAATCAGGGACCGAGGGACATGCGAGGCTACAAGTAGCAGCGGGCCGCGGCCAACGGGTCATTTTCGAACTGCTGTCTCGCGGGAGCGTAGATCGGAAGGCTTCGTTACACGGCCTGGGTCTACCTTTCTTTGACAGCCAACGGATCTCAGATATTCATCATGGTAAGTCCGATTTTCAATTGCTTTTTGATAAATTGACCGACTGCAAAAGGCTAGGAAGTGATTTCTGATATTACTGAAACCGTTGGCTTGATTGAGTTCAATCAAGCCAACGGTTCGATTGAACTCAATCAGACCGGTGGATTCAGACTGAGTTTGAATGCCTTCCTTCAATCCGGTGGTCGGAACATTTGAGGCTGCGCGCTCAGTGAATATCTAAGTACCTACTGGAAGCGGGATAAAATGTTTTGTTCTTTTTCTGCCTTGATAGTCCTCTTTTGTATCAAGTCTAAAACCGGGCGGTCAGGCTCCCTTCATTCAGCACGTCGATCCTAAACCATGGTCATTGACCCCGTTTTGTACGTGGGTATTTCTAATAGCGAGGCTGTATGACTAAATTGAAATATATTTGGGCCAATATATACTGGTATGATTATAACTGTTAGCATGAGTAGCCCCACACCGGCCCCGCTGTACCAGTACCCTGCGGTCCAAGATGGCCGCTGGCGGGCCCTCGTGCTCTGGGCCGCCGCAGCGGATGTAGAGCGCGCCACCTGCCCGAGCCGGGGCAAACCTCCGACCCGGAGCTCACAGAGGGGAGGGATGGAAGGGAGGGGAGAGCGGCGGCTGCTGGGCACTCCGTCTCCCCTGGTGACCGCCAGGGGCGCTGCTGCCGCTCGGCAACTGAACGGGATCGTTACAGAGGGAAGATCAGCTGCGGGGGGGGGGGGGGAGGGTAAACTAACAAAGGCCAAGCCGCGTCACAGTCAGCTTTTCTGTGAATGGATGGTTGTTCAATATGTAATAACTAACGCTGATTTGGGTAATTAAGGCCTGCGGGATTTCTTGTGTAAAGGTAATTTTTTATTGACTTGCAATTTGCATTAGCAAGAGAGAAAAGCTTCGAGCTTCTTGATTTTCAAACAAACAACAAACAAACAAAAAAGTCACAATGGAAACCACTCAGCAGAAAATGATCCATTATTGCCATGCATTCCAGCACCAAGAGACCGTATATTTGACTGACCGTCTTTGCTCCCATTTCAGCGTGAGTGCATCTCCATCCATGTGGGTCAGGCCGGTGTCCAGATGGGCAACGCCTGCTGGGAGCTCTACTGCCTCGAGCACGGCATCCAGCCCGATGGCACCATCCCCTCGGACAAGTCCATGGGCGCCAGCGACGACTCCTTCTCCACCTTTTTCTCGGAGACGGGCGCCGGTAAGCACGTGCCGCGCGCCGTGTTCGTCGACCTGGAGCCGTCTGTGGTGGACGAGGTGCGCACGGGCGCCTACCGCCAGCTCTTCCACCCGGAGCAGCTCATCTCCGGCAAGGAGGATGCCGCTAACAACTACGCCCGCGGCCACTACACCATCGGCAAGGAGGTGGTCGACCTGGTGCTGGACCGCATCAGGAAGCTGGCCGACCAGTGCACCGGCCTGCAGGGCTTCCTCATCTTCCACTCGTTCGGCGGCGGCACCGGCTCCGGCTTCACCTCGCTGCTGATGGAGCGTCTCAGCGTCGACTACGGCAAGAAGTCGAAGCTGGAGTTCGCCATCTACCCGGCTCCGCAGGTGGCCACGGCCGTGGTGGAGCCGTACAACTCCATCCTGACCACCCACACCACCCTGGAGCACTCGGACTGCGCCTTCATGGTCGACAACGAGGCCATCTACGACATCTGCCGCCGCAACCTCGACATCGAGCGTCCGTCCTACGCCAACCTGAACCGGCTGATCGGCCAGATCGTCTCCTCCATCACGGCCTCGCTGCGTTTCGACGGCGCCCTGAACGTGGACCTGACAGAGTTCCAGACCAACCTGGTGCCGTACCCGCGTATCCACTTCCCGCTGGTCACCTACGCTCCGGTCATCTCGGCGGAGAAGGCCTACCACGAGCAGCTCTCGGTCTCCGAGATCACCAACGCCTGCTTCGAGCCGGCCAACCAGATGGTCAAGTGCGACCCGCGCCACGGCAAGTACATGGCCTGCTGCATGCTGTACCGCGGAGACGTCGTCCCGAAGGACGTCAACGCCGCCATCGCGGCCATCAAGACCAAGCGTAGCATCCAGTTCGTCGACTGGTGTCCGACCGGCTTCAAGGTCGGAATCAACTACCAGCCGCCGACCGTGGTGCCCGGCGGCGACCTGGCCAAGGTCTCCCGCGCTGTCTGCATGCTGTCCAACACCACCGCCATCGCCGAGGCCTGGGCGCGCCTGGACCACAAGTTCGACCTGATGTACGCCAAGCGCGCCTTCGTGCACTGGTACGTCGGCGAGGGCATGGAGGAGGGCGAGTTCTCCGAGGCGCGTGAGGATCTGGCCGCGCTGGAGAAGGACTACGAGGAGGTCGGCATCGACTCGGCCGAGGCCGAGGGTGACGAGGGAGATGAGTACTAGGCGTGCTGACGAGCAGCGAGCTTTGTCGTGACTCGTGAACCGGACAGCGGCTCGTAACCAGCCGCCGTCCGTCTTTTGTTAGTCTAGATAGCCTTCCGGAACGAACTCAAATACATTGAATCTGCATTTATGTGCTGTGTGTTGGAGCTGAGCGTCCGAACGAATGGACAGCAAGCGACGCGGGATGAAAAAGTACAAAGGGCGCTTGGGCTAGCTGGTCACAAGGCGAAGACTCCGAACCAAAGTAACATACACCTTTAATTATCATAACCCCCGCCGCCGCCGGGGTTGTGATCACGGCTTCCCCGAGTGACCAGACAAGCACGATGCACGCGGGGCAGAGCGTGAAACGTGACTGTAGGGGGAAGAGATAAGGAAAAAATAATGAGGTGGGGAGCCAGAGAAGCAGACACTCAAAGTAGATACGGCGAATAATGGGCTACGCCTGACTCTTTGTGTTCAGTTAGAATCAGTATTCTTATCTTCACTGTACTAACTGCCCGCCTTTCTTGTAGAAATGCAAAAGGCCGGCCTGTCCACATTTAGAATCCTTGCCCTGGCAGCTTGCTCTCGCCCACACAAAGTCGGCTTCAGTGCTTTGTCCATTGTATTCAGTAGTCACAGACGCGATAACAATCCATAGTCTGGCTAATGCCACCCGTGTAGTGCGCAGTAGGTGTGACTAAGGCGGCCCGGCCCTGGCGCCGACAGCACGGGTTGAGGGCGCCCACGCCGTATGGAGCGAACAGGTCCGGGTACACCGGCCACCCCACAGCCGGTGTGACCGGTGTGGCCTCAAAGTCGCAGAGAACGCCAGACGCCCGGTATTACAATATCGCGAGGGGGAGGCGCTGAGTCATGCCAGGTTGGCGAAATGGCAGTCAGGTCATGGCCAGCCTAGACAGTGGGTGAAGTTAGCAGAAAATTGTCACTGGGATAGATTCACCTAGCAGCGTTCATTTGATTTCAACACAACTCCATTACTTCATCATAAACAGATCAACACCCTCACTATTTAACAAGACAAGGCGGCATACTCCTCATTTACCCACACAGTGCACTTAAAACTACCAGCGACGATTTAATTTTCACCCGCGATCACATGACTGAAGTGCACACTCAGGTTACCTCGAAAACGCCCTAAACGGCCTCCGCAGCCCACGGGCGTATACCAGGGAAGGAAGGAAGGGTTGGCCGGCTGTGGGTGTGCTGAGCCGGTGGTGTGGCTCAGTCGCCGTCTGTGACCAAATATAGTCGGTGTCGGCGCGGCACGGGGCGGCCTGCAGCGTCCGCACCGGCGGGGACGGCACACGGGCCGAGTGGTAAACAAACAGCGGTACGGGGGCCGGTAGAGACGGCCGGGCGAGGGCACATTCGCACGGACACAAGTTAACCTAACCAAGTCATACGCGCTAACATTAGCAGGAAGATTCGCTTACAACATACATAGTTCACAGTGCACATGTTAAATAACTCAACGTAACAGCGCTAGCTGGGCTATGCAAAAACCAACGATTATAACGAAGCATACATCGTCCTTGCTAGTTCGCATGAAAACTAACTACATAGTTTCCATGCATCTGCTACCATTGCAAGGTGTGCAAGCGAAGCAAAACAACAACTGTTTGACGCAAACGTCGAGTCACTTAGTAGACTTTGAAGCATGCGCGGCGACTAACTAGTTACATTGCACGCGAACCCTCGGTCATATTTTGTGTTGAAAGATACTGAATAATGATAATTGTACTAAATCAAGTGCTGCAAAGTACCAACCAAAGAAAACGATTTGAAACATCTGGCAACATCTGACATCTCTACTACACCGCTTCTAGCGGCAGTTGATGATTGAGACAATGGAAACATGGACAAACTTATCAGCTACCTAGTCTGCATAACTAAAGAACGTATTTCAGAATCTACCCAAATGTCTGTTTCCTCCCCAACGGGAAACATTATGCAATGTGACATGCAACTTTCATACATATCACGTGAACACTACGATTCGTTTTCGTTAAGCAAGTGCGACAACTAAAATACGCTTACCACCATGAAGACAAGGAAAGGCACGCTTACAATTCATCCACTCTGTGCAGTTTAAAATACCAACCCCAGTGTCTATCACAAAAGTCTGTGAAGTGCAGCGTGCATATCGCAGTGTCCTGCCACTGTCCAATATCGCAGTCTATTTGGAGCCACAGACACTTATACAGAAACAAAGCGCAGAGTCGCGAAGCGTAGAGCACAGCCACATCTTGGGAGAAGGTTAAGCCCTCGAAGGCGGAGACGGGTAACTCGAGAAGCACAAAGTCGATGATTCGCGTCTCGCAGCACAGCTAGCAGGGGCTGGAGCGACTACGCTGCACAGACCAGCCACCCTGGCAGATGTTAGGTACGGTCGGTGACCCGGGACCGGGGACAGACGCCGAGGTGCCACCCCACCTTCAGAGTGACTCTGATGGACCCTCCAGCTCGGACTCGACGCTCCGGAGGTAGTCACATTCAGTTACTCGTCCTGCGAAACGGGCATCAGCATCAGTGTGGCAGTGAGAATAGACACATACACAAAAAATGAAAAGCAATCGCACGGTGTGCAGGACCCAAATACTTGTGAGTTTTTTTTTTAATTTGCTTTGAATAGAGTACACTATCTCGCGATTGTTGAAATCGACAGAGACCATGCGCTGAAGCATCGCTAATTACAGCAAGGCTTTGCATTACCTACAACCAAAATAAGCAGCAACGGAATGAACAGAAAATCGGCGTGAATACAGAGCGTACAAAACAGCAGCACGGGCAGGCCGGTTCGACTTACTGGTCAGCTGATCGAGCAGGCACACTGCGCAGCCACAATCAGCAAATGGTGCCCATCCTTAAATAAAGGTTACCAAAGGTGCCGGTCAGTGCCTCATGCCATGCTACCGAAGCTCAGCGTTAGAGTCGCTCACCAATGCTGCTCGTATCCGAACGGAAAATCACTTTGGAGACAAACGCGAGCCCGCGTCAGAGGAACATCAAAGTGACAGTCAAGACCGATTCTACTAACGGATGGGAGCAGGCGTATCCTGCCGCGAGGCTGTAATTCGTACCCAGCTCCGCGAAATTTCGGACGGCGCTCTGCCAAATGCTCGAGGGCTAAGAGCAATGTAAAAAACGACCGGATGCAGCCTGCAGCCAGCTGAATAGTTACAAATATTATAAAGTCAAGTACAGGGCCCCAGACATGCAGAACGGGCTGTGACAAAAGGCAAGAGCAAAAACTGATATTACTTCTGCGATCTGTCATCAGGAAAAGATAACTTATGGTTTTATGAGCAAAACAAAACATGTCTTACGATGACAAGAATCATTAACGCATGTCAGCTTAGTAATGCTTGCCACAATAACATACGAAACTGTTTCACAGTTGCATGCAAGTCAATAATTACAATATGCCTGCAGGCTGAGCAGCTAAGATCCTTTGCAGACCCCCCCCCCCCCTCCCTGCTGGTGTATGACCGGTGGCGACTGCTGGTGACAATGACGGGTCACGAAAGGGAGTGGTGGCGGAACATCCCACCACTGCTTATGGCACGGACAAATATTAAAGCCCTCACATTCCACCCTCGGTTCGGGCGCAGGGATCACCGGCTGAGCTGAAAAAGGTCCTGACGAGGGGTGCCTCTCCCCCCCCCCCCCGAATCACACAGATATGCAGACAGGCCGGGACCCCCTGCCGGGGACTGACCTTTTGAGCCGTCCGGCGAACAGCTTGCTCTCCTGGTCGGGCGTGTTGACCAGGCTCGAGTACATGTTAACGGCCACCAGTAGGCAGCAGAGCAGCACCGGGCCGAAGATGGCGCCCTCGATACCCAGCCAGAAGATACCGCCGGCGATCGCCAGACCCGTCAGGTACGGGTGACCGCTGGCAGAGTAACGGTCAAAGGTCAGAATACAGCCCCGGCGCCAGACAAGTCAGGTACGGGTGACCTCTGGCAGAGTAACAGTCAAAGGTCAGAATACAGCTCCCAAGCTAGACCAGACAAGTCAGGTATGGGTGACCGCTGTCAGAGTAACGGTCAAAGGTCAGAATATAGCCCCGGCGCCAGACCAGCCAGTTACGGATGACCAGTTGACCACTGACATAGCAAAGGTCAAAGGTCAGCCCGGTCAAAATAATGTGGCACATGGACCATCAACAAAAGCATTGTGCAGTTCACTAAAAAGAAAAGAAAGACTCACCCCTTGACCTCGCTGTAGATGGCGGTATCGACGAACAGAATGGGCGCCAGCTGGGCGGCGAAGAAGAGCAGCGCTGTTAGCGGCTGTGAGTGGACCAGCCAGAGCTCGAGGACGGCCGGCAGGGCGGCCCAGTAGCTGCCCAGGAACGGCACCGCGCCCAGCACGGCAGCCACCACTGCCAGGAAGGGGGAGGGAGGGTCAGAACGATGGAATAGGCTGAACTAAGACACCTCACTACCAGCACTGCGGAGGACACGGGCAGGGCCACGCGATCTGTCATCAGGCCGATTGTAGGCAACTGGCCATGTCCGAGAGACAACGGAAACGGCTGGGAATACGATGTTTATCATTCGCAGGAGTAACGAGACTCACTAGGAGCACTAAATTGAAGCGTAACGATGCTACATCCCCGTCCAATATAAGGCAACGTGTGGGAGCATGCATTACCGATACATTAATACTGCGTGACTAACTACAGTACCAATCCTCCTACTGGCCCTCCTCTTCACCTGACGGTAGGTAGACGAATTTGACGGCAAACACAGAGTGCACCAGCCACGTCCAGAGCAGGTAGAAGACGGCCATCTTGAAGGAGGCCACGAAGACGCTGCTGACCGCCTCATCCACAGCCATCACGAACCTGGCGCACAGGACGTGGGGAGTAATTTAATATGAGAACGAGTGTTAAGAATTGGATATCGAGAGAGAAAGCACCTCATCTTGGAGTGGTAGATATCTCGCAGCAATTGTAAAATTCAGAGCCAAATTGCCTTATCTCAGGTATTCAGTGAATTTACTAAAAACAGATCTTAATCGACCACAGTATATGAAGGATTGGTGTTAAGAAGTCTGTCCCACAGATCCTTCTCCGACCGCCGTGTCCTGCCGAGGCTGTCGGTTATCACCCACCTGCTGCTGCCGCCGAGACCTGCCGAGGCTGTCGGTTATCACCCACCTGCTACTACCGCCGTGTCCTGCCGAGGCTGTCGGTTATCACCCACCTGCTGCTACCCCGGCTGACCGGACCCAGTTTGGTTATCAGCTCCACGGGTTTGTACAGCTGGCCGCTGGAGCTCAGCAGGTAAAACAGAGCCGTCATGAACACGATCTGGAAACGGGGAGAGGCAGCGTCAGGGCGCGACACACGCCAACCGGGCACAGACAGCAGCCAGAGTAGGGTGGGGTCAGTCGTCACTGACGGAAACTGCTCTGGCAATTAAAGCATGAGGCGTCATCACTCATGGCAAGCTTCGGTCCTACAGCTGAGCCCTCCAGGATTGAGCACTGCGAAACCGTCACCGATCAGTGAGTTACGACTATCCTCCTGAGTCCTGAGTTCGCCCCACTGAACTCACCAGATTGAGGAGTGAGTTGAGCACGGCGAACCCGCCTCCGAGCAGCACCGAGATCAGCTGGGTGACCACCGACACCAGCATGGTGACGTTGGAGCGCAGGATGACCCACGACGAGTCCAGCACCGACAGCACCGTGTCCAGGTTGTCCTGAACGGCCGCCTGCGGAGAGACGCCGAGGTCAGTCATGAGCAGGCGTAGTAAGCGCGTACAGATTCGGTTAAAAGGGGCGGGTGGTGCAACGGCACAGGTAAATCGGCGAAGTGAGGGAGGGATGGACTTTCAGCATTCATTCATTTCAGCACTTTCATTCATTCATTCATTCATTCATTCATTCATTCATTCATTCATTAATTCATTAATTCATTAATTCATTAATTCATTCATTCATTCACTCATTCATTCAGACATTCAGGTACATTTCATTTATTCATACCTTAGGGATTCATTCATTCATTCATTCAGACATTCAGGTACATTTCATTTATTCATACCTAGTTTGGGCTTCATTCATTCAGACACTAGACGAAACACACACATCAGGCCGAGTGCTCCCACACCCGTCCCATCCCCTCCCCTCGACCTTCACATCAGTTGTACTCGCGGCACCACCGTCCGCAGGTCGGTCCGTCTCACCTTCACCGCGTCGACGGTGAGCAGGTCGGGGTAGCTCTGCACCTTCTCCAGCCAGGTCTGCCAGGCGTAGGCCAGACCGGTGCCGTCGACCACGGGCCCGACGGCCGGCGCCGCCACCACGGAGCTCACCCAGGCCTGGTACAGCCGCGTCCACAGCTCGACCGTCTCGCGCTCCAGCTGCTCCTGGCTCTGCGCGCCGGCGCCCTTCGTCAGGTCACGCACCTGTGGGAGGGGTGGGGTGTCACTCACTCAGGTCATACACCTGAGGGAAGGAGAGGGGTGCGAGTCAGGGGTTACACACCTGTGGGATGGGAGCGGGTCACATCACATAATTGAAGGAGCTGCAGGGAATATCGAGAAGTGAGAGAGGTGATTTCATCTCCCACGCACGCACCAGTTTGGAGATGTAGTCCTTGCCGTAGAGGTACCCGTTGTCGATCATCTGTTCGACCATGGTGCTCATGTTGGCCGGCATCATGGCCTGCAGGTCGGGGTTGGCCAGCACCGTCTGGTTGAACACGCTGCCGGCCATCTCGATCATGTGCACCGTCTCGCCGTATATCTGGGCGGGGAGGGTCGGCCGTCAGTCGCCGCGCAGCGGAACACAAAACAAGGAGCGCTGCTTTAGTAAAACATTACAAATCGGGTAATGAAAGTAATCATACATAAAAATAAATACATAAATACCATAGCGTTTTGCTAAAAAAATATGCATGAGAAACAGATGAAGTAATTAGCACACAAATTTTCTCCGTCCTTTGTTATGCAATGCCTTAGTAGTTATCATTTGCGCACAATTGGGAGAGCATCAAAGAAAGGTCATCAAAGAAGACAGACACACGCTCACCTGAACGGCAGCGAAGGAGACAAAGACAGGCGAGCAGTCCATACCACGTACACACCCTCACCTGCACGGCGGCGAACACGGCGGCGAAGGAGACGAAGAAGAGCGCGCCGAGCATGACCAGCACAGTGACGACGGCGTCCACGGAGCCCTGCACGCCGGCGATCACGTGGCCGTTGCCGCGCAGAATCAGCTGCCAACGGCGGACAGAAGGGTGCAGGTCAGCACTCCGCTGGAGTTTAACAGCAGACACTAAATCACGAGAATGGGAGGCAGGGACAGAGTCGGGATCGTTCATCACCGAGTCAGGTCATTGCAGTTACTGATTGACTGAGACGGCGTCTGGGCTTAACAAATTTTCCAGGATACTGTTGACAGAGGTAGAAACGTCATGTCAAAGGCGTCAAAACGATGCGATGTCAAACGTCATATGTAAGAAGTCTTGCGGTCTGTCATCAGTCTGCAAATCCAGGCCAGTAACGTATCTAACGGATCCCGCCCCTCCCGTCAGCAGCAGTGGACTCAGGACTGTCCGCGCCCGTCCGCGTGCCGCTCACCTTCCAGACACCTCTGACGGGCAGCGGCATGATGCCCTCGCGGCGCTCCTGGAGCCAGGCCAGCGCCGGCTGCAGGGCGGTGATCAGAGAGTCCTGGCCGCCAGACTGCCAGAAGTTGATCACTGCGCGCGGGCACATAAGGCGAGGTCAAAACATTAGATAGATTCTGGAAAGACGGAGCAAATTGAAGTCCTTAACAGCGAGGGGATAGCCCCTGTGACCCATTTCCCGCAGCATTGTCCAGCAATATTTTCTACGGTATAATCTTACTCGGCTTTTATGTTCTTTTATTTTCGCAAAACTGACACAAAATTGGCCGTCATTGCGACCCCAAACACAAATCATCATGAGCCCGCACGACATAAGTGACACCCTTACAGCGCTGCCCTGACACCACATCCAGTGTCGCTCGGCTCACCGATGCGTTTGAAGAAGTAGTAGACGATAACGATGGGCAGCATGGAGAGAAGCCAGATGCGTTGCCAGACGACCACCACCAGGCAGCAGTAGGCCACCGCCGTGATGTAGGTTGTGGTCGGAGAGTGGCCAGAGGACGGATCCGGTGCCGACGGCCGCTCGCCCGACTGCCGGGACAAACCGAGGAGGGTTGGCTCAGGCGCGTAAATATTGTGTCGGTAAATATATGTACGCTTTGACAAAGCAAATGGATGTGGATCATCTGACGTCTAGTTACGTGCACAATTATGAAGCAAACAATCCATTTAGAGGAACATAAGAAAACATAACAGAAGCGACCGCCCATAGCCAACCAGCAAACGCGAGTATGATTTACAGATATTCGAACATAAAATCGAACACAATTTGAAGAAAAAAAATCAAATTGTTACTATAAATTGACGGCTAACTGTTACAGCCGTCTGTCCGAATATCAGTGTTGCATCTAGGTCGCACACAACGGCCGGTGACGTTAGAGCAGTTACTTGCCGTCGCTGGCCGGCTCCGTTAGTTACCTGCGGCCGCTGCTAGGTCAGTCAGTATAGTTACCTGCGGTCGCTGCTGGGTCAGTCAGTTGGTAAAGTTAGTTACCTGTGGCCGCTGCTGGGGCCGGATGGTGGGCGACTCTCCAGTTTGTACGACATGGGGTTCGTTAGTTACCTGCGGCCGCTGCTAGGTCAGTCAGTATAGTTACCTGCGGTCGCTGCTGGGTCAGTCAGTTGGTAAAGTTAGTTACCTGTGGCCGCTGCTGGGGCCGGATGGTGGGCGACTCTCCCGTTTATACGATATGAGGTCCGTTAGTTACCTGCGGCCGCTGCTAGGTCAGTCAGTATAGTTACCTGCGGTCGCTGCTAGGTCAGTCAGTATAGTTACCTGCGGTCGCTACTGGGTCAGTCAGTATAGTTACCTGCGGTCGCTGCTAGGTCAGTCAGTTAGTATAGTTATTTACCTGCGGCCGCTGCTGGGGCCGGATGGTGGGCGACTCTCCCGTTTATACGATATGAGGTCCGTTAGTTACCTGCGGCCGCTGCTAGGTCAGTCAGTATAGTTACCTGCGGCCGCTGCTAGGTCAGTCAGTATAGTTACCTGCGGTCGCTACTGGGTCAGTCAGTATAGTTACCTGCGGTCGCTGCTAGGTCAGTCAGTTAGTATAGTTATTTACCTGCGGCCGCTGCTGGGGCCGGATGGTGGGCGACTCTCCCGTTTATACGATATGAGGTCCGTTAGTTACCTGCGGCCGCTGCTAGGTCAGTCAGTATAGTTACCTGCGGTCGCTGCTAGGTCAGTCAGTATAGTTACCTGCGGTCGCTGCTAGGTCAGTCAGTATAGTTACCTGCGGTCGCTACTGGGTCAGTCAGTATAGTTACCTGCGGTCGCTGCTAGGTCAGTCAGTTAGTATAGTTATTTACCTGCGGCCGCTGCTGGGGCCGGATGGTGGGCGACTCTCCCGTTTATACGATATGAGGTCCGTTAGTTACCTGCGGCCGCTGCTAGGTCAGTCAGTATAGTTACCTGCGGCCGCTGCTAGGTCAGTCAGTATAGTTACCTGCGGCCGCTGCTGGGTCAGTCAGTATATTCTTAGGTGTTGTTTTTATCCGCTGGGACTGAGAGCGTGAGATGATGTTTTTCGTACTCCAGCGTAGAAGGGTAGCCATACGGCCGCCACGGTTGACAGTGATGACATCAGTCATCTTTTGCAAGCTCGTTAAAGATTTGGGCTATACGGGGATTCGAACCCCGGACCTTTGGATTAGCGCTCCAATGCTCTTCCGTATGGCTACCCTTCTACGCTGGAGTACGAAAAACGTCATCTCACGTCAGTCAGTATAGTTACCTGCGGCCGCTGCTGGGGCCGGATGGTGGGCGACTCGGCCGCCGTTAGTTAGTTACCTGTGGCCGCTGCTGGGGCCGGATGGTGGGCGACTCGGCCGGCCCGCTGACGGTCTGCACAGAGGAGCCGCGCGCCGGGCCCGGCACAGAGTCCTCTGCCGGCCCCTCCGACTCCGCCGCCTGCTGCAGGGTGCGCGGGCGGGCCCGGCTCAGCGGGGTGGAGGTCATGCCCTATTACACAGAACGAGGACCGAGGTCGGTTTGGTCAGAGCATATCTAACAGAACAGAGACCGAGAGGTCAGACTGGTCAGAGCGCAGCAGTGTTCCATTTTTCAGACTTTTGGTGGCAAATAACACCTAATGGAGAAAATACTTTCATCCCTAAAATATGAATGACCGACTTAACTTCATCTCTGAAAAAAGTTTCATGTATTCCCAACAGCCAATTTACATGTCATTTGACAGTTGATGCACCCACATCCTTTTGTTTCACACCCTGTCAAGATTCTGACATGAAATCCTGGTTTAGCAGTTGGCATACAAATTGGCATTACACCATTTGGCAAATATACTTTGGTTATTTACTTCCTTTTTTCTCATCCTAGGATTTTTTTCTTCTTCATCGGCACACCCAACCAAAATCCAATTTTAGAACACTGGAGCGCAAGAATATGATAGCCATGATTTCAACAGTTCAGGCCATTTAGCCAGATGTAAGCATTCACTGTCGGTACAATATCGACAGAATATCTGACACATCACCCCACCGCCACCCCACAGTCACAGTGCGGTAGTGCAGCCGCAGCCGTGTCGCCAGTCCTCAGCCGTACGTACCTTCTGCGCCAGGTAGGCGGCCGCCCGGCTGCTGGAGGCCGCAGTGGGCGTGGTCTCCACTCCGGAGGGCGTGGCCTCCGCGTCGGCCGGCGACTGGGCAATGGAGGAGGGCATGCTGCCGGGCGACTCGTCCTCGCCCGGACTCAGGAGGCCGGCCGGCGCCGCAGGAGCAGCCTCCGGCTCCGCGGCCACAGCCTCGACAGATGACTGGGGAGGACACAGGCAGGGGGTGAGGTGGAGCAGTGGTTACGCGATAAAAACAACGACCGTAAAATACCATTATCGTAGAGCTTGAAAATAGCTGGCATGCGTCATGATTCAAGGAAATAACTGTACTACAGAAAAACCCATCTCGTATGACCGCGCGCGAAATGTTACGCTCAGAAAATGATAGGGCAAAAATTATGGATTGCCGAAGCGGGGAAAATACAAACATGAAGCTGGCTAGAATAGTTTGTATCGTCCGATACTGTTAAGTTACATAGAAAATTCGTCTTTTACGTTAAACGCCTCTCAGAGCACAAGACCACTTGGTCACATTGCTTGATCTCGATACTGTACCTGGTCGCGAGAGATGCACTCGTCGCACATAATGGCCATGATGGTCTTGGACATTGAAACGTTAATGCCTGGGGAGGGTAACCAGAGGCCGTCAGGGTGGCACACACACACACAGACAACTACGGTTGCTATTCGCTATCGGTTTATGGGGAAATAGTGGAGATTCATGCACCACTCGTGACTCAGTTTTCAGCCCTCACGGAGCTGGCCATATTCTCAACGTGCAGAAAGGGGAACGCCAGACTAATAATTCATATGCATTATGCATTGCACATTCTGTCCTCCAGCAAATTTCGACACAAAAAAAATCACCCACATCTAAATGCTCGCTTATCATGGAAGGAGTTCGGCGTTCGCTTTCGTTAGAAAAACCTTATTCACTAGCACACACCTACATGAAAGCTACCCTCTTCTCATTATGCTGAGCGAACGCTCGCCCAGGGACACCTCTCCGTGCAGGTACCCTTTATCTCCCACTCCACCACCCCATCACTGCGGTCGCGTGGCAGCGTGTCGGGTGCACTCGCCTTCGTCCTGCTGCTCCCTGCGGCGCGCCAGTACCTCGGTGACGAAGCCGACCGCCATCAGCGCCACCAGGCCGACAAAGATGGGTCCGGCCAATGAGCCGGCCAGTCCCGAGAGGAAGCCGAGCAGCAGCAGCCAGCAGGGCACCGCGAACCGGCGGGTGGCCGGTGACCAGAAGAACGCCACGGCCAGCACGTACCCGGCCAGCAGCGTCCAGCACTGTCGGCGGCCAGGTCAGGAGGTCAGCAAACACCAGCAGTACCCAGCACTGGCGGCGGCCAGGTCAGGTCAGCAAACACCAGCAGTGCCCAGCACTGTCGGCGGCCAGGTCAGGTCAGCAAACATCAGCACTCAGCAGTGCCCAACACTGTCGGCGGCCAGGTCAGGTCAGCAAACGCGAGTAGTGCCCAGCACTGTCGGCGGCCAGGTCAGGTCAGCAAACGCGAGCAGTGCACCGCACTGTCGGCGGACGGCAGTCAGCGGGCCAGGTCAGGAGTACACACGATCCGTCGAGCAGCGTCCACTATAATGTTACAAGGCCTACGGCAGCGCGACGAGAAGCGTCAGCAGGTCGCGGAGGATCGGCACACATAACTGGGTGGTAATGACTGACGATAAATTAGTGGCTCTGTTTCATACTGAATGAGCTAAAGGCAAAATAAGACTTGTCACCGATGCTGATCTCCCTCCTCCCGGATCCACTACCCCCGGTAAATGGTCCCAGTCGACTGACCAGCAGTTTGTTGTAGAAGATGCTGGTGAGCAGCCAGAGCAGGTTTCCGACCACGCCGTGGCTGACGATCCACAGCAGCGCCAGCAGTACGCTCGGCGTGTAGAACCACACCACGTTCACCACGGCGATGGCCACCACGAAGGCGGCCAGCGCGCGGATGTGCCGCACCGCCGCGTCGCCGATGGCGTCCGTGGCCGCGTCGAACGCCCACAGCGGCGCCAGCAGCGCGTGCAGGAACAGCGGCGAGCCACTGCGCTCCAGGTCGGCCAGCCAGCGGCGCGCGGCCGCCGTCAGCCGGCGCTTCACCGGGTGTGTGACGGTGCCGAGCAGCAGCGCCCACAGCAGCGGCTTCACGAACGGCTGGAACACGGCGTACGTGGCCAGCCCGATGGCGCTCACCGTGATGACGCCGGCCAGTGCGGCCACGTTGAACAGCGCCTGCTTGACGCCCTTCTCATGGGTGGGCGGAATGTAGCTGAACACGCTCTCCAGTGGTGTGCGCACCGCACCCGCAGACGAAGACGCCATGGTAGGTGGTCTTAAACGGGCGTTCTGGCTCAACAGTCACTGGCCGCGGTTCACTGGCTGCCAAGAGAGGTATTGGTCATAATATATTGAGAGACCATAGGTACCTACCATAGGTACCTACCATAGGACCATAGGTATTGAGACCATGGCACAGGCTGGTCCTCAGCCAATCAGAGTGCCGTTGGTCTGAACTCGGCAATAGGTATATGATTGGTGAATCATCAATGAGTAATGAGCTTCCACTGCAAGCACAATTGTGATCACTGCACAATCTGAACTCTGGGCCTTGTTTCACCGTCCCAACGCTGCGCACGCCGCAGCATGCTGGGAGCTACGTCATACCTTGACCTAGGTACCATAACATCACTCAAATGAGTAATGGCATTGCGTGCGATCCATTAGCTTATGATGAAATGTGTTTGATACATAGTTCCTAAAGAACCAAGGAAAAAGAGAGCAGAGGTCAGGTTTGAGTGTGAATACTGCCAGCGTACTGCTGGCACTGGCGACGCTGCACGCTAGCGCTTTACGATGACGTCATAGCTAAGAGTCAGAGTGAAGTTTGTTGAACGTTCATATTGCCATGGAAACCCAACACGCCGACACGCACAGTGCACTGCAGCGCTTTCAGCTTTGCCATAAAACACCGCCCTAGTCCTCTGTCAAGTGTCAAAGATGGAAAATACTCACTAAGTAAAAATATAATTTTTCTGACCTATGCCTGGTAAATGCCCGTCCATTATTTTCTCTAATCATTTTAATAATGAAACTCGTTAAACTGTTGAAAAAAATCAGGAGTGATATATTTCATTTTGCTTTAGATTTGATATATTCCCTTGAGACTTTTAACGGTAGTCGTATTTAAACTACCTAAATATATCAATATACCAAGGAGCCTGATATCAACAAAGTTACCTGTTGGGATTTAAGGAGATCCTTACGATTTTAGGTTTTTAATAATGCCCTTGGTCTTTAACACAAATAATCTCTCCCCCTTTCGGCTCTCTCTATCGCCTGGATAAAAATAGGCCCCGCCCATCCCAATCAGCTGCTGCATGACGAGTTGATGACGACAACCACTACTTACCAGCAACCAATCTAGGGATAGCGTACGTGACAGTAATGGTGCAGCGGTTGCAAAATATTACATTGTTATTCAAACGGTGTTTGCTTTGAGGATGAGGTTAGATTAGATGAAGTGTTGATGAAAGCAGGTATTTTTTTAAAATATTTTTTTGACAATTTTTTGCCCTTGTTTTACTTAATAGCTGAACCCGGGACCACCTGAAGTCTAAACCTTATTTTATATAACATGTCAATGCTGATGCTGTCTTGAAATGTGAAATTTAGACAATGGTAATAGGAATAATGAATAGCAATTTCACCAACAACATTTTAATCTCTAGGAAGTGCAATTAAAATTAAAATCACTGTCTGCCACACTGCTCCATCCTGCTGAGGGCTGTTCACGGACCCTGTGTGCGGTCGGACCGCACACAGCCTCCAAGCTCCGCCCACTGCGTCCCTACGTCAGCCTTGCGTCACCGCACACAGCGACCGCTGTGGCCGGTCGGAGCCCTGATCGGCGGCCGGCTAGTACTCTTGCCCGCGCTCACATACGTGCACGTTACCCCGGCAACGGGCTATTGACCAATGAGAAGCGAGAAAAGTGTTACGTCACTGCGATTTTTCATATACCTGTGCCCCCCGGACGTGACGTAGTGTGCTCGCGCGCGTGCAGGGTCTCTGCGATCGAAAAAGAGCGCTAGCAGCGCGCCACTCGACGCCGCAATTGTCAAAAGCGGCGTGTTAGTATGCTTTATTATGAATGATGTGTGTAAAAGTGAGTTTTTATGTTGTTTATTTGGAGGAAATGGTTGGAATAAATTAAGTTATTTTTATTTCTGTTGGTTGGAGTTTTTATTCAAAAGATTTCGGTCTATACCATTGATATTTACTGAAAATACCTTCGCTTGAATAAATTGCAGATATTTGGCGACTGAAGTGTTAGGTAAGACTAAATGATATGTAAAAAGGTAAGAGACACCCTGATTATCATTTGAGAAACGAAAATATATGAATTTTCCTTATAAGATTCGCTCAATATGCTACTCCGCGGTTTATGCCCCGAGGGTGTCCGAGGGTTCCCGTTAGTTTGTCGTTGGCGCTCGGCTCGCGCGCGAGCCGACGTCACCGCGTGTGACGTCGGCTCGCGAAATACGTCATACCCTGCACACAAAATAGCCGGCTGCCGAACAGCGCTCCGGACTGGCCACAGCGGACCGTCCACCGCACGCAGCCGTGACGTCAGAGCCGCCTACCCATCCCCTACCCCCACGCCTGCTGGACGTACCGCACACAGCGCACGCAGCAGTGTGCGGTGCCCGTGAACACCCGGTCATGCAACCAACGTTCATGGGTGGTGTTTCACAGCAGAGCACGCACTGCAGTGCTCTGAGGGCTGTTCACGGGCCCTGTGTGCGGTCGGACCGCACACAGCCTCGAAGCTCCGCCCACTTCGTCCCTACGTCAGCCTTCCGTCACCGCACACAGCGATCGCTGTGGCCGGTCGGGACTGGCCACAGCGGACCGTCCACCGCACGCAGCCGTGACGTCAGAGCCGCCTACCCATCCCCTACCCCCACGCCTGCTGGACGCACCGCACACAGCGCACGCAGCAGTGTGCGGTGCCCGTGAACACCCCTCAGCACTGCAGTGCACTGCAGTGCGCTGCGTGTGTCAGAGCATTGGGTTTCCATGGCAGTGTCAACAAACTTCACTGTGATGCTAAGCTATGACAGCATCCCAGAACGCTAGCACGCTGCGGTACCAGCACCAGCAGCATGCTAGCAGTATTTGAACTCAAACCTCTGTTCTTGGTACGGTTTTTCAGAACCTCTCACTCTGTTCCATATGCGATTGATCATAAACTAAGAGATCACATGCAACGTCATTTGAGTGATGCTATGGTATGCCGTAGCTACCAGTGCACACAGTGTCTGGATGGTGAAACAGGGCCATTATTAATCACATTTGCTCTGCTTTGTTTCAGCAGAAACCTGTCTGCACATGGGAGGAGCGCAACAAAAGCCCATCAAGTTCATGCATGGCAGTGGATCTCAACAGGAGAAAACCAGAAAGAACATGGATGCTTGTAGATTGCAGTTGTACACTGCTGTTATCACCTGATGTGCGTGGCTGGCATTGCTCCTGGCAAGAACCACCTGCAAGTGATGAGATGGTGCCTCAGTCGTTGAGTGTGCTGCAGTGTGAGAGGCGCCCTGATCTCTACTTTGTGATGGGTTTCCATTGGAGGTTCAACTGAGAAGTGAGAACTGACTGTGACCATGCTTGAGCATGCCAGTGGAGCTTTACATGCTTAGGGCAGCTTTTGAACAGATGCTGACCATGGCATGTCCCATCCAGTTATCACGTGCACAGAATGGTGGGGGGAGGGCAACTCTGGGCTCTTGAGTCAGCCCTACTGCACAGGGGGTACAGATGGCAGCTTACGTTTGGTGTGTCCTGCACTGCATTATCAAGCCCAGTCTGCGCCACAGGCAATGGGTCGGGCTGCACTAATTTAAAGGCAGACTATCTTGCAAAGGAGGCTGGCATCCTCTCCCATAATGACACACCAATTGGCAATCATCGCTGCGATGATCACGAGGGTGTCTGCTTATCTAACATGGTGAGGTGGAGAGCCAGTTCAAGCTGGCCTGAGGGATGGTTTTACTTCATCTGAGGCCCCCTTTCCCCGCCTGCCAGGTCCGGTCAAACGACCGCTTCACAGTGAACGACTTGCAGTGGATGCCGTCCCACAGCGCAACGAGCGCGCCGACCAGAGGCGGCGGCCAAGAGGCGGCCGCGCTCCCCCAGTCGACGGTCCCGGTGGACGTCGGCAACGCCCACCGCGCGACCATCAGATCGGCTCGCGACAGCGCCGTCGCCGACTGACCGCATGACTGGTATCTGTTCTTGATGTGGGACCGACTGCCACCGCCGGTCGCGGAAGGGCATCGCTCATCGGCCATCGACGTCCGCCAGCTTCGCGTGGGTCACTGTTCGGGCTGCCACCAATACACCGAATCGGATGGAACCCTGTCGGCGAATGCCGGCGGTGCCCCGACATCGACTGCGCGGCGGCCAGTGCATCGCGTGCCGGGATGAGGCTGGCACCCCCGATCGGTCATTGGTCACAAACCGTGTCCCAGCTCATGACTGCATCCAGCGCAGCTCTGTGAGATGTTCTGCAGCTGCTGCAGTCTGCCGCGTGTGTTGAAAGAAGAATGAACATGAGAAAACCTCAAAACTTTATGCCTATTCGTAATTGACCAGTATTGGAATAAGTTTGGATTTTGAGAATTTGTGTCCCTGTGCTTGTGCCTGTGTGGAAAGGCATGCTTTACGGTGTACCATCTCAATGTCAAATCCCGGCTGCGCTGTGCGGATTTGTGCGGCTGCTGACAGGCCACCTGGGTGCCAACGTATGTCAATGTGCGAATCCGCGAATACGTTGTGTTTCGTCAGTCAGTATCGTTCTGAAAATATTGACTGCAATAGGCTATATAGCGTATGACGGTTCAGCCCAGCAGTAATAACTGACCATTGATTGGGCGAATTTTGTGTGGTGGTTCGCTAATACATAACCTAAAGAGTGTTTTGCCGGAATCGTTTAGTAGCAGAACTGACCGGAATATAAGTAGAATGCAACGGTTTGAATCGTTAATTTGTTGAAACGATTGTTCTCTGAGACCACTGTGTAACTTTTGACCTGAGAATCACCAATTATAACGACAATGGGGAAGCAGTAGGCTGTACTGTAGAGTGTAGGCAACACTATATAGTTGGCACATTTACGGAAGCACACGACTTACGCAGTGGACATCTGCATCATGCATGTTAAGGTTTACTGGGAAGAGTGAGAAATTAGTCAGAATATAACTGACTAAGGAAAATAGGCGATATTTCCTATTGAGCTGGGGCGGAGAGGGGGAGGGGACGTGTGGTCAGCTATGCCAATAATTCATTCTCTTTATGCAGCTGTGTAAAAGGGCGTCCGTTTTTGGGTTAGACCTTCCCCATCGGCCATTTCCAAGTTAAATCGTGGTGGAGAGTCTGGAGACCTCAGCCTCGGTAGTCGGTACCCTGCGCGCTGCGCCACCTTGCGAAACATAAAGCAGCAGTCCTGACATCTACAGGCGTGACTTTTCATGAAAGCGCGGATGTGTTCGCGCTTATGCGAAGAAAATTCTTCCGAGTATGGTTGATAATGAGATTAATTGTTGTCATTTATTTATTAATTCATTGGCAAAAGTACCCTAATAAATCGGTAAAATAGCTTGAACTGTATCGTATTTCCTTGGGAAAAAATGACGAACTCATCCTAAGACATCCAGATTATTGGATGCGTTCGTCAGTTGTAAGTAGTTCAAGTTTTTGGGAAAATTTGCTTGTGGAAAATCATAATATTTCAAAGATATGCCTATTTTCGAATAATTTATGCATTTATCTGCATTGAAAAATGATTGTAAAGCAAAAGTGCAAAAGATTATTGTCAACTTATTTTCTCAAATCACGATTTACGAACGCACAAAACTCCAGCTTTTAATTTAGTGCGTGTGCGAATTGCGGTCAAGAAAAAATATTTAAACTGTCTATATTCCTCTAAAAACAATGAAGGATGAATGAGGAAAACGCTGTTTTGAACAATTGTATATTTATTTTTTCTTAATTAAGCAAAAGTACAAAATTTTCAACTATTATTACATTTGCTCTCACAAAACCCATCACTTTTTAGCATGACGTCATGTCAGCCAAATTTACTAGCGCCATCTCTGGAGAGCATCTTTCGAAACCTCCAGACGATAGAGAGAGCCCCCCTTTCGCGCGTATAAAAAAAAAATCACAGGCAAGCTTTGTATATGCTGCGCAATATTTGGCAACCTATGCTGCTGCCAAATGGTATAAAAACTTTTAACGTTTGAAGTAGGTATTCTGAGTCCCCAGCGCTATTTGAGCGCTATTAGCACAATGCTGTGATGTAAACGATGTGCCAGCAAATATAGATAGCACCTGCAGGCAGGTAAAGCAATCATCGAACATCTTTTTTGAATTGATGATATTGATGATATATATTTGCAAACGTCAACTTCATGCTCGCTTCGTCAATGCAGCTTTTCACGTGCTGCTTCCTGTCCTGTCCTGGCCCTGGGACAGTGGGAAAGCGAAGGGTCTTCACCGCTACAAAATCTGCAACCTGTTTGGACCTCGAATCAGGCCATGAGTCGGCAGGGATCTCTGCAGCAGAGCCGTTCCGCTCTCACCGACCGATGCCGAGCCACACCTCGCCTCCCGAGTTCCCGGGGCCCGTATACCACCAGGCCGCGGCCCGAGCATATGCTTCTCAACATCTGCAGCGTGCACCAGCAACACCTGCAGCTGCGGGAGTCGCGGGACGGCGGCTTAGTTCGCCGCCCCGCCGCCAGGTGCGGTCGCGTCCGAGCTCCGCGGGCCTGGCGGCGCGGCGTCACCACACACGCTGAGGTGGGCGGAGGCGGCGCCGAGTGGCCGAGCGGTCGCGGCGCCCAGTCGAGCAGAGGCACGATGGAGCTCCGGTTCGCCGTGGTGCTGGCGCTCTGCGGAATCGTCTCCGGTGAGTGTCAAAACTCGGGACTCATGGGCTCCTCCGACCTTGTGGGTTGACCTCGCCGGCTGGTGCGTAGGACCGAGCACACCTGGGCCGCGCCACGCCGCGGCGTGTACCTACCGTAATTGGGCGTCGTTTGCAATGCCAAGGTCAGCGTTCCGGGCTGCTGGACCAGATTGGCGTCGCAAAGGCGTTATAACGCAGGGCTGGGGGACGCCGGTAAACCAGCAACAGCTCAAAGGTGCGCTGTGTGACAAAAGCAAATGGCTGTGTTGTGTTTGACTCACAGATCGGATGTATGGAAATAGGACGGTGGACGGGATAATGAGCTGGGTCATGCTAGACAGACCGTGGCCAAACCTCTCGCGTAAATGGGGCTCGGAACGGGGTCTCAAGGAGGGGCCGTTCTTATAGATCAACCAATCATAGCTCTCGGGACAGGCCAGCCTCTTGGTTTGACTGAAGGACCGATGCCGTCTATTCACAAAGCCAGTAATTCTCATAAATGTGATAGCGATGCACTTATATACTCGTATAAGCATCCTATCGAAGAATCAATTGAAACTTAAATGTATCAGTAATATGCTTCTTATTATATCGGCTGAATCACCGATTCAATAGCTTCCTGTTTCAGACGGTCACACAATGCAAATTGCAAAAGCATCTAAATGGAAAGTGAAACAGACCATTTAATGCACACTTTCTTGGCGCTGCGGTGCGGCGACAATTCAGGAAAACCCATACACTGTGGAAAACCCTACGTTGCTGTGAACCATCTGATGTACCTAGAAGGAAACTGTGTCGTTTAAAAGGACTGCAATCCACCACGCAGGAACTTGGTCGACACTGGACAGGGAAGGTTACAGGAAACAATGAACTAACGTAAAAGGAAGGTCGCCCATAGTAATGAGAATCAGATAGGTACCTTGGATCTTAACTATACGAGTACAACTGTTGATCTTGGAATAAAAGGAGCTCAACGTTCTTTGCATAAAAACTCGTGCCTTGGCGGGAGGGTGCATTTTGCGCCCCCCCCCCTCCCCCGCCCCCTGCGATTCTACCCATGCCGGTTTTCCCGCCGCCCTTTTCAACACACCTTACCACGCATCTTTTTAGTGCATTTTATGACAAATATGACGGTCATTTAAAGGCCAGGTCGCCGGGCCACGTCAGCAGATTTAAGTAATGTAAGACGGCGACGAGCAATGTTAAATGCTCGCCCCAGCCCTAGCTGCCCGACTGAGCGACTCATTCGTCTGTCAGCGATGGACATGAGTGGTAAGAGATTCGAAACCTTAAACCTCGCCGGCACAGGGGGTTGATGCAACCCTCCTAAGGTTTTTTTTTCGCGAATAACTCGCGTAAAAAGCGGCCGATCGCGACGAGACTTCAGTACCCTCGCATTGATCAATTTTACACAAACCCTACAAATTTTATGACCCTGACCCAAATGACCTTTGCCCTGTGACCTACATACTTTCCGAGACCATGTTTGGCCGGAATCGCGATTCGGCGTATGTCGACTCGCATTAGCCGCGCGTTTGCAAGCTTTTCGTGGTTTCAAACGTTCAAACGTGTGACTTGATGTTGCTCCCATGCATAATTGTGGATGTCAAGGTCACCTGAAGGTTACGTCAGGTCATTGACCGTTGGTGACCTCGGTTCACTTTTTCGTGTTTTACATGTCAGTTTCTATAGGCTATAGTTTTTGGAGCTGAATTCGAATTTAGCAACCATTTGATAATTTACGAAGTAGTGTTGGTGCCATCGTAACATGTTACGAACTGTCAGAGGCGGTTGACACGTACTACGAATACCCGTCACGACCCCTACCGGCTGACCTGACCTGACCTGGCCCGACCTGGTCTAAATGCTTAAAGGTAGTGTGCCACCTTTGAAAGATTTCCCATTTTATTTTTCCTAGGATAAGAAGCTTCTGTTTTTACCTAATATCGCAAAAAAATCAAAAATGGGCCTGGAATAGTGCCTTTTTCGCCTAAAAGTTTATCGGTTTTTAGATATGTATAACAACTGTAGTGGGCTCACCTGCAAACAGGCGTCGGGCAACAATCGCGAATGCGGCGCACTTGTGACAATACCTAAGCAAAGGTCATTATAGTGTTACGACCATACGACGTACGGGAATGAGTTATCAGCTGTCTAATCGTAGACAACACAATGTCGAGCCTTAAACTGTAAGCCCGTATTGGTATTGTTTCTTTTATTTGGCTGTCGAACATTATTTATGGTTTGAAATATGATTTTATGTAAAATAATTGATATGAAAAAGCCGTCTTATCAGTTATGACCCCATTTCACCACACGCAAGTGGCAGAAATGACAATGATCAGCTGACGCATTTTTCTTGGCCGAAGTCAGAGCGCGCAGCCCGACGCACCACCACCGCACCACAAAGTATGAGCAGAAGCCGCGCCCAAAGCCAGGGCCCCGGTAACGTGAGGTAGCCGAGTCGGGGCAGCGTGCGCTGACCCAAGCCGGGGCCGCAGCTTTGGGCGCGGTCTACCGCATCCCCGCGGGCAGCCCCGGGCTATCACATGACACCGGGAGGACGCGCGGCTCCGGCTTGGGTCAGCGCACGCTGCCCTGACTCGGCTACCTCACGTTACCGGGGCCCTGGCTTTGGGCGTGGTCTACCGCACCACCTAACAGGCGTGTTCGAAACCGCAGGAGCTGATGATGAACGGGTTTATCGAAACTTGATTGGATGAGCATATCGGTAATAGCGATTTCAGTGTGTGCATTTATTGTTCATAGTGGTGTGAAATGTGGTTGGGGTACGACCGACAACCCGTCGGGGCGAATTTCGCACTGGGGTGTTCAAAATTTGAAGAATTTAAGACGTTTCCATGAGTTTTGAAGGTATGGATAAGTTCTAAAAATCTGGTTCTCCTTATCTGGGCCATTAACTCCATACGGTCCAAGAAAGCTGGCACACTACCTTTAAAGACATCATCTGTGATAAAAAATAACACAATATTCATGATAAGCACCCCGAAAACCCCCAATTAGCAGTCACACTTAACGACTTCCTAACAAGTAACCGGTCCCGATTTTCCAAACTTTTGGGTCATTAACCTGACCTGGAAGGTCAACCGATGACCTGGGACCTTAAAATTGGGTATCGTCGGGCGTCGTCTTCCTCTCGTGACGGGCAGCACGCTCGTTTTTTTGTGAAGCTCTATCTCGATCAGGAGACAAACGCGAGGGGCGGGGTTCCCCCCCCCCCCTCCCCTTGTGCCGTCGAAGGACGCAAATTGGCCTGTGCCGGTGAGGGTTAATATTTTTATGTAGGTCAATGACCTAAGTTCAGGTCAAATTTGCGACCTCTCTATCATGATCCAATGGAAAATTGTTATGAAACTGCGCACCCTTTGAACGAGTTATTCCAAGCACAGATATTATTTATTGTGCTCATGGGCGCCGCCACCGGGGGGGACGGGGGGACGCGTCCCCCCCCCTCTCAGAATGGAAGGGGGACGTCCCCCCAAAAATCATTACGGAGCGAGCGAAGCGAGCGTAGTCTTTCGTAGGTTAACGGAAATTTCTGAGTATGCCGTGGTCACGCTTTTGCTAGGCTTATATCTCAGCAACCACTTGACCGATTTACATACGGTAATTTTTGTAGGGTAGCACTAGATTCATTCCTTCTAACGAGCATCGGACTATTCCTGATGCATGTGAGTGACCCCATATGCACGTGCCACGTGAAAAACGAAGAGGTGTCAATTTTGTAACAATTTCAATATCTCGGCAACTACTGGGCCGATTGCGCTGAACGTTGGCATGTAGGTAGGTATACCCACTAGGCAATGCATATCCATGTGCCACAGTTGGGGTGCTGCTGCACGTGCGCACATGCAGGGGTCGATTCCAGATCTCGAGAACGGCTGAACCGATTGTGCTGAAATCTGATACATGGTTAGGGACCGGTTAGTAGGGTGCCGTGCAAAAGTCAGTTGGGACCCATTTTGCACGTGCGCACGTGCAGGGTGCCGCTTCCAGATCTCGAGAACGGCTAGGCCGATTGCGCTCAAATTTGGCACATCGTTAGGGACCGGTTAGAAGGGTGCAGTGCACAAGTTAGTTGGAGGTATCCCCTCGCAATTTCGCACGTGCAAGGCCCACCCCACCTTCCCGCTCGCTCCGTTGGTCGCCCCAAAAGGCGTTTTACTGGTTGTTATCCTACTCGAAATTTGATTAGGCCCTTCGGTCCAATGAGACCATTTCAGAGCCGCAAGAATGAAATAATTAATGGGAGACGTTGGTCGGGGCAGCCACCCCAGTGAGCCACTTGGGATGAACCCGACCAATTGAACAGGCAGCCCAGCCCACTGGCACTCACTGCACCCGGCAAAGGACTATAGCTCCAGTGGAGCCATTCCCGCATGGGTTAGAGTTGTCCGTCCAGCCCGGAGCAGGGGGTTTGAGGCGTGGAGAAGGATTTGACTGTCCTGAGGACGGAGGAGATGGAACGGCCGGTGCCGAATCTGAGAGGGTCCAGGAGGTTTAGATACTCAGTATATGGGGTGTGGGCCGACATGCATTGGTCTGACCCCTGCCAGCTCGGCCAACAAAATCTCCAGCTCTTATCCGACCTGTCATCGCGGAACTGTCGATTTTTGATATCGTGATCAACGTGTGTCGTAACTACAACACGACTGGCCGAAAACGGGCCTAATATATTTCGTCTAACCAGCCAAGAGCATGACTTTACACCAATCCGACCTCGAAGTCAAAATCCGAACATTTTCGAAGACTTCAACTCCGACTCTGGCCAAAACTGGCCAAAACAGTCAACTCCGACTGATTCCGGCTGCGACCCCACACTTCTGCAGTCACGCTACACTAAATTTCCAGCTTCTAAGAAATAAGCTATACGGTTGACAGGACCACAAAACTTTGAGGCAATTTGACTACTTGACTTGGTTTTCCTGACCTAAGGTTTTCTGGTATCAAGCTTGTTACACGGGCTGCAAAATTCGTAT